TGTTGTAGAGGTCGAAACCAACACAATAAAAATTGTTAGGGTTTTTAGATTAAAACTGAAATCTCTGAGCTAGAACTACTAATACCAGAACAAAGATGCGAATTTGCTGTAATGAAAAGCTTTATTGATTCTTGCAAAGTATTTGTGAGTAAAATTGCGGATCCTCTTTTTCAAGAGATGTACATGTCTATTTATACAAGTTTTAGGTCGGCTAGGCCAACTCCTCAAGAGATAAGGAAGATTTCATAATTTCTAGGGATTTCCTATTGTTGAAGTCGGTTCTGATTGCGCGCTCTGTTTTCATGGGCTTTGAGCTCGACGCGTATCTCTTTGAAACTTGACCTTGCCGACTTTGTGTCTTGGGCCTTGAACTTCTTGAGCTTGTCACTTCGTCCTCGCTGTTCTTGGGTTTGCCATCTCACCATCTCGCCATAAACTCTCAATTTGGCCCAACTCGTCTCTATGCTAAATGTGCCTAGCTTGGCTTATAGCAAAGCAAGTCCTTGGCGAGCTCTCTATTTCAGCTCGTTCACCTAGCCAACTCGCCAAATGGCTTGTTTCATCTTAGTCAGCTTGCCAGTGCGACCTGTTGACTTAGTCAGCTCGCCACTAAAACTGTTGACTCAGTTAGCTCGCCACTAAAACTGTTGACTCAGTTAGCTCGCCACTAAAACTGTTGACTCAATCAGCTTGGTACTAAACAGTTGACTTAGTCATCTCGCCAGAAAAATGATACTTAGTTATTTTCTTGATGATTTCAATTGAGGGAAGTTTTGACCCCAACAAATGTTATAAAATTTATTATTTTACAAAAAAAAAAAAAGTTGACAAAATATTTAGTACGATTATTATTGTTTTATTTTTTTGTCGTTTGCTATAACAGTTTGATTTTTCATAATGATTATTTGATCAAAATGGTGATTTTATTATTAACGACAATATAAAATGATATAACTCTTTACAAGTTAAAAAGATGACGAACAATTACACTGAGATTTTACAATGAGTAATTCTATTCGTATACCAAACGATTACAACAAACGATTTTATATGTGGTAACAGTTTTACGTACGCATAATATCAAAATCACACCGATTTTATATACGTCATTTTAAAGATCTTGTCAATTTACTTCTATTAACTTCAATAATTTATATTAATTATTTGAAAAGTAAAACACACACCAACTTCCTTCACTTAAATCCAGCCGTCGTCAAGTCTTTGACCGGCGCGTGGCAGCTCAGACAGTGCCGGCATCGGTCACGATTCCCATTTTTATGCTTAGTTTTTCATCATTTGTCTTAGTATTTTTGGCTGGGGAAACGTGTAGGTTTCTGGCGATTTGGAGTGATGGGTCTCAAGACTCAGATCTGATGAAATTTGGCCTTGGAGTGGTCGGTGGTGTGCCGGTGTTGCAGTCCTCACTTGTAGATCTTGGATTGGAGTTACGGCTCGGTTCAGATCTGATTGGTGGTTCTCTTCGTTGAGGGTCTTCTCTCGACGGCTCGCTCTTTCATCTTCCATCGGCGATAGATCGAGGCCTTGTTAAACAGTATCTTCCTCATCTCTACTATCTTCCTCCTTTGCATCCTTGTTAGATTTGTTCTGGAAGAGCATGCTTCGATTCTGATGGTTTTGGCTGAGATGGTTTTTTACCGTGCTTGTTTAGCCTTTCTGATGGTTGGGTTGCAGGCCCGTTACCGGATTTCTCTGGTGGAAAAGCTTTGTATTTCCCTGGGCTTTGCTGGCTCTGGGAGGCTCAGCCATGGGCTTGTGCAGCGACGGTACTCTATCGGTGCCCTTCGGATAGCTTTGTGCTTCTTTTGTTTTGTTGATTCTGGTTCCCTCCACACTTTGGTTTAATTGCTAATTTTCTTAGATTTGAGGCCTTGACCATGACCTATGATTTGTGTTTTTGACAATCCTTGGGCCATTGATCTTCGGTTTAAATCTCAGTACTTAATCGGAGTTTTCTGAAAAAATTTTGGTCGGGTTCTTTTTCCGTGTATCACCCTATCTCAGTAAAAATAAGAGTGGGGCACGAGCAATAGCCTACTAAGGCTCTGGCGTTGTCTACCTTTCAACTCTTCTCGGATCAGTCATCTTTGGTTTTCGCTTTATTCGTCTTGGGTATTAGTTGGTTGATCTTAGTGTGGCTTTGTTTAGGTGGTTAGATAGGTTCAGGTTAGATTCATATTGCTATGCCTTGTGTTCTACTATGCATTCTATCTTGTATACTACCCTGTAGTTCCCTATGTTCGCCTTTTGATTTTAATAAAAGTTTCAGATGACAAAAAAAATAAAATAAAACACACACCTAATGTAAGATCATTAAATAAATGGGCAATTGCAAAAATGCCACACTCAAAATATACTTTTACAAGCGTGCCACTCTCCCCTACTCTTTTGCATTAATGCAACCTTTTATTGACAAAAGGACAAATGTGTCCCTTTCTCTCTTTTTTTCTCTTTTTCTCTTTCCCTTTCTCTCTCCCACTTTCTCCTTCCTCCACGAAACATGCAGATCAAAATCTGAT